ATGTGTTCTCAAAATTATCCAATAAGATTAAATGATAATTTTGACTAATAATTAATGTGAAATTTCATTATACAACAGTATATATTTCGATATAATAAATAATCACATGATTTTACATTAAAATCACATGCAAAAAATTTAATTGGTCAAACAATATAATGCGAAATTTTATAAAAATAGATATTTATTATGTTATCTAAAATTAGGTATATTGATTGATCATAAAACAATATATAAAATCATATTTTTCATTTAAAGTAAGAGATTTAGAGAATTAGTATTTGATTAATTACTATTTTTAGATATTAATAATAAATTATAATTGCAAACAAATATTATCTTCTAAAAATAGATATTTATCATATTATTTAAAACTTGTATTATTTTAATATTATATTATTTAAAACTATTTTATCTAACACTATTTTTTATATATTATCTGATATTATATTATCTATTTATTAGTCTCTGATATTATATATACACTTTTAGATTTATAAGAGATGCTTTTTTTATCTTTAATTTTAGTTTTATTATATTAACAAGAAAATAAGTTAGTTTTACTGCTGGATAAAAATGTGAAATTTATAAAATAAAAGAAAAAAATTCAGATCTTAATAATATTGAACTTACTCATTAGTATAATATTGAAAAGTTAATAATATTAGAAATCCTAAAAGAAAAAGAATATTAACTTGTTATTTCAAATTAAAAACAAGAAAAAATAAAAAAGTTTTATAAATCTAATTGATCACAACTTGAAACAGCTCTTGATTTCTGAGTTGATAATGCACTTATATTATAATAAAACATCAATAGACATATTTTCAAAGCAAAAGCAAAATTTTTTATTAATCACTTATATATTAATAACTTTCATGAATTTGATAATTGATTTACTAGTTTTAAAAAATGACATGAACTTTATCAATATATAAAACAGGATGAATTAGTAAGTGCATCTTTTCCAGAATCAGTAGAAAATAATCAGCTTATCTTATGACAATTACTTTAATTTTATAAACTTGAAAATATTTGAAATGCTAATAAAATCAAACTTTTTTGAAAAATGGAACCATCTCGAGTTTTAGCTCATTCTAAATTAGCCAAACACAAAAAAATTATATGTATTAATACTTTGTATTAAAAATATACTTGGAACTGAAATAATAAATCTTATCTTTATTTATATACACAAAATATTTCATCCAATATGATATCTCAATTATAAGAATCTTCTTATCTATTATTATTAAAAATTATAAATACAAGTTAATATCTTCAATGATATTCTTTTTAAACTCAACAATATAATGAAATAAAACAATTGAAAGATTTTACTTTTGGTTAATAATGCATTAATACATATCATTTTTAATGAAACTAAAGAAAAGTTAGATAATATGCAAGTTAAATTTCTTTTTCCAAATATAACTGCAATTTTTCAATTTTGTAATACAGGAATTATTCATTCATTTAAGTATTAATATAAGCATCTATTTGTTCAAAACTAAATCAATGCATATGATAATATACAGAATAGTATAGTACAAGAACTCATCAAGTATAATATTTATAATATTCTTCTTAATATGACAGAAGTATAATCTATATCTGTATTAATGATGATGAAATTGAACATGAGCTCACTGATAAGAAAATATTAATGACAGTAGTAAATGAAGATAAGAAAGAAGAGAAGTTTGTTAATGAACAAGTAAAAAAAATAAGTTGTAATGAGATAGAAAAGTCTTTAAACAAAGTATTATAATTTTTATATAAATAAGAGCCAGAATTTGGTGAAATTAATAAGGAGGTAAAAATTTTAAAAAGATTACATGAAAGAGTTAAGTTGATGATTATAAAAAATCTTAAGCAAGTTGATCTTTATCATTTTCAGAATAAAAATCCTGAGTGACCATTTTTTTAAATAATAAAAAGTGAAAAAATAAGTACAAACCTTTTTATTTTATTCTTTATTCATTAATTTCTAAAATGTTTTGTTATTATTATTAATTTGAAGAGTATTTCATTGTTATCATCAATAAATAAATATTTTTTTGTCATCAATAGCAAAGTATTTTATTGCATTGTTGGCTTATAGAGCATTTTGTTGTTGTTACTGATTTCCAGAACAGATTTATCAGATTATTAGCTAAATATATTTAGTAATTATGATCACATAAATCTGATTCTATTTATCTGCTTTGTATAACAAATTATTCGGTATAGAGAGAGCGCTGGTCATAATGAACTCACTCTATAATAAACCAAAAGTTTCGGTTCAAAAGATTTGTTATAACCAGAACCAATTGTACTTTGATAACTAAAAATAATAATATTATTATAAAAATTTTATCCAGCTTATTTATAATTAATTTTTTCTTTATGTAATTTTTTTGATTTGCTTTTTCCAGTTATAATAATTATGCTGTACTTATTAAAAATTAAGATTAGAATTAGAATAGTAACATTTATTAATTAATATTTTAAAAAGTAAAAATATAGAGCTTGATTTTAAGTAAATATTTTGATTGAATAAAAAATTTGATTTAAAAAAATATCTTTATTAAAATAATATTAACTAATATATGTTAGCATTCTTAGAGTTAAGATTATATATAAAATTATCTTTTCATTATTTTTTAGATATTTTTTTATATAATCTGTACTTGATTCTCGATTACATGCACAATGAATTTATTCCAAGTTTTGATTGGTTAAGAATATTAAAGGTTAGTTTTAACGTTAGAATAAAGGGTTAGGGTTAGGGTTAGGATTGAAAAAAGATTTACATGTAAAGTTGTCTTCCCGACATTTTTTATTAGTGCTTCAAGTCGTGTTTACCCATTCGTTTTTCGTATTTTTCACATTATTCGCCTTTTTAATTTTCTTGTGTCGGATTTGTTTTGCCGGGTTGATCAAGAATTTATGCATCTTTATTGGTTGATTTAGAAGACCCGATGTGCAGTTAACCAATCAGAACTTGGCGGGAAGTTAGTAAATGCCAAACCAATAAGGGTGCAAATAAAAGAAAATGAGAAATGCGCTTGAAGCACTAATAAAAAATATCGGGAAGGCAATTTGCATATCTTGTCCTCGACTTTAAACCTATTAATTTTCCATAATCACGTGAGCGTAAATTTTTGATGGGGAAGTAGATAATCACCTGTGTTGAATTAGTAACCAATAACGATAACGATAAAAATTTTCTTTTCTCTATTCTTTCAAAATGAAGGTAATATTAATTCAGTTTTCAATTTTTACAACGAAATTTAGTTATACTTATGTTTTTTCAATATAGTTGAACATCGCCAATCCAGCTACAGGCTGCCAGAAATTGATTGAATTTGACGATGAACGTAAAATGTGAGTTTTGAAGTAATTTTCATGAGTAATACTTGTTTTTGTCATTTAATGATAAATCTCTTTCTGAATCAAATATAGGCGTATATTTTACGATAAACGTATAAGTGCAGAAGTACCTGGTGATTCTTTAGGAGAAGAATTTAAAGGATATGTATTTCGTATATCAGGGGGAAATGACAAACAAGGATTTCCTATGAAGCAGGGCGTTCTGAGAAATGACCGTGTCCGTTTATTGTTGTCAAAAGGTCATTCTTGCTATAGACCGCGTCGCACGGGAGAACGCAAAAGGAAATCTGTGCGCGGCTGTATAGTCGGAAGTGATCTTGCCGTTTTATCGTTGGTGTTAGTCAAACAAGGTGAAAAGGACATCCCTGGCTTGACCGATATTACTGTACCGAAACGTTTGGGTCCTAAAAGAGCCTCAAAAATTCGTAAATTCTTTGTATGTATTTTTAATTAAGTTAATTTGCAGGTTTAATCTATTTTATTGAAGTATATTCATTATCTTACGGAATATATAGAATCTAAACAAGGGTGATGACGTTCGGAAATTCGTCGTGCGCAGAGAGGTAACTCCTAAGAAAGAGGGCAAAAAGCCATATACAAAAGCTCCTAAAATCCAACGTCTTGTGACTCCTCTCACTTTACAACGAAAACGACATCGTTTTGCCTTAAAGAAAAGGAGAGCTGCCGCATCGAAAGCTGCTGCTGCTGAATATGCTACACTTCTTGCTAAACGTCTTAAAGAACAAAAGGAACGCAAGGCTGACCTTAAAAAGAGAAGAGCCACTATTCATAAAGCCTAACTACGACCCAGTGAAATTACTTTTGGTATTCTAGCCTAATTAAAATCATTTTATGTTATTTATTAAATTAGCACAAATGAAATAAACAACTATTTAGAGGTTGTATTAACATTATAATAATAAATAACTATTGAAAGTGACACTAAATATAATTTATAAAAATACTTTTTTATTTAACAAAAAAAACATGCAATGGTATTTTTTATAGATAAATAGCTCTTAACCATACTTACTTGATACTCCAAAGAATATATTTATATCAGTGATAACTTTATATAGAGACTAATCTAATTTAAAGCTGAGCACAATTTGAGTGGTATTATACTCTCGCTACTTAAAAGCGGTGAACGTCGATTTCTAATTGTACGCCGAGGAAATTTTAAGCTTGAAGGGTGGAAACAAGGAGGAACGGAGGATGATGTGTGCAAACCTACAAAAAATTATATTTGCTTTGTTTTTATCAAATCACAAAATTACATTAGATTTTTTTTAATTCAGATAGAGTTAAAAGTTAAAATTTAAATTCGTCTTTGTTAGGATTAGCAACAGAGACCATCTCTTTAGAGAAAATTTCGTATAGAACGGTATAGGAGGATAACAAAGATGACGATGACCGCAGTTTCAAGTGAAATCGCATTGTCAAATTGGCTGCCGTGATGTCGTAAAAAGGTCGAAGTTGTGAATGATTTAGGTTGAATTACGAACAGACAGGGAGAAAGACAGAGAGAATAGAATATCATTCAATCGTTGAGCGGTAGCTAGCTAGCACACAGCAATCATGAATAATAATTGATGTTAGAACTAAAATATATATATAGGAAAAATACTTTATTATTAATACACTTGTTAGGTAGGGACGGTTGGTCGTTTGCGATTTGAGAGAAATTTGTAGGTAGGAAGGGAGACTCGAGTCGCATGGATACCCCGTAAAAGATTCGAGAAGAGGAAATTTTCTAATTCTCGTATACATGATGATGATGATGATGATGATGATGATGATGATGATGATGATGATGATGATGATGATGATGATGCTCTTTAAATAGTGTGATTACAACCCGTGTACTATCGGTGACCGACCGTTCCGAACCGACCGATCGACCGCTCACTTTTTGTTTAAAAATACCAATGAAGAATCATATTGACATACTAAAAGCATTGCAGCAAAACCTCTTTTTTCACAATACGCAAATGATGACCAAACCCAAAATAATGAAATAAAAGTAAAGAGAAAAAAAAAAGAAAAAAAAGTAATTTATGATCTACATAATTTATCTGCAACTCACGTGCTAAGAAGTAAAATTTGTTGGATAATTTCAGTAAATTTATATGGCAAGGAAAACTGTAAAAAAATTGTATCATATTTGCCCGTTTCCTGAGCTTGTTGATCTTGCATATTGAATAAAGCCGTTAACATCTAATCAATTTAATCACGCGGCTGTGGTGATCGGGATTGGGAGTGGCGTGGAGATCTTGAAGAGGAATGAGACCCTGGACGACCACTTGGAGATGCAGACCTTTCTCTTGGGGATCTATCTCTTGGGGACCTATCTCTAGATCTATCTCTAGGAGAAGATCTCTCTATCCTTTCCCTGGTTTCTTCGCGAGGACGAGAAGGTGAGCGAGATTCACGCTTAATCCCTCTGACAGGAGATATTGACCTAGACCTTCTTTCATCAATACCACGTTCTTCAACGGTATTACGATCTCGATCAGCAGACCTAGATCGAGAACGACTTACACCACGGCGAGCATCAGAGCGAGGAGATCTACTACGTCCACGAGATCGAGAAGCGCTACGAGAGGGAGAGCGAGAATAGGATCTTCGTCTTCGCGAACGTGGAGTTGGAGAACGACGTCGTCTAGGAGATCCTCTACTGCCTTCATACCTCCAAGATCTGGATGGTGCATTCTTAGCCCACTAAAGGAAAAATTCGGTTTTTTCCATTGTTCGCTATTAAAATTCTACCTCACTCAATTAAAGACAGATAAATTAATTTATTATATTACTTGGATATTCAAAGCATGCCCATAAATCCTACGTCCATGCATTTCATAATAGGCATCTTCAGCATCCCTTTCGTCTTCAAATTCAACAAAAGCATACCTGTCAAATATAAAATATATTCATAATAAATCATATAAATAGAAGTGTTCAAAAAATAATTTTAATTTGAATCAAGCCTTTCACATACGGCTTGGATTGATAACTCCTTGGGGCTGGGATGTCACAACGAATCAAACGTCCATATCTGTATTTTAATGACAATATGTTGTAATAATGAGTTTAACGACTCGTTATAAAAGACGAATTTTATTGAAAGCTTGCACAGGTTAATAAGAAATTCAAGTAATAAAAGAATTCAAGCAGTAATGCAAAGATTCCAACCTTTCAAATTCATAAGCCAAATCGCGAGCGCGCAAGGTAGAACCAAAACCAGCTACAAACAATGTAGTCCTGCGATAACCACTCATTGTATTGTTTTTGTAAAAGCAGCTATTGAATATGTTTCAAGCTTCAAACACAAGCCAGCAACAAAGAAAATATGCCTACTCCTTAAAACTAATTTTTTTTTGATTGTGTTGATGTTTTATATTATCATCAATCAATGTGATCACATCCATTTGCATAACTCTATTAATGTCGTATTGGTATATTATTTAGTGGCAATGTGTTCTATTTATAAGGTTTTAATATACAATTTCGTTTTTTAGCATCTTTTAACTCAAAGTATTACATAGAAGGTTTCCCAGACATGATATTACCAAAATGACTCGATTCTCTAAAAATACATTCCTCTTTATTGTTAAATTGCTAATTCAGAAATTTTCTGTTGATGGTTCTTCTGCTTGTGCATCCATAAATACTTTCGAGACAGGTCGACCACGACCTCTTCGAAGACCTGATCTTAATTCTCGAATAGCATCATCAAACTCACCTTTTCCAGCAATAGAGCTGCTAACACTCGAAGTATCTGATGGACGTCGGTTAACCTTTTTAAAAAGAAACATTGTTCTTAATCATTCAATTGATTGATTGTTAAAAAAAAATAACGTTCTGTATTAGGAATATTTATTATCTATTACCAATCGATTTCTCTCCCTTTCTCTTTCTTTTTCAGCTTTTTTCTGTAATTCTTCGTTTTCTTTTCTCGCTTTCTATGTCAAAAAAAAATTATAAGAATGATAGCCTAAATATAATTTAGTCATTCTAAAATCAATCAACAATATAAAGAAAATCCTTACAGCAAAATATGAAGCAAAAGATACAATAAGTTTGAAGAAATCTTCGGGTTTAGTGGACGACGGATCTTCACCATAATAAAGTAATAGCTGTTTTAATTCATTATCCAATTTTTTTGCCATGTCTCGTATTTTTGTAACTGTTGGTTCGATGAATTCCACAAATTCCTATCATTAAATAGAAAAAGAAGTCAAGGATAAAAATTTGAAATAATAAATATACATTAAAAAAGGGGGGGGGGGGAAGGTGTGAAAGTAGTAAGTCGTAATTATAACAAAGGATACACCCATCACTTCAACAAATCGATCATTGTTTGGTAATATTTTGATTTTATCAAGTGCATGTATTTCTTCTCTAATATGTGAAACCCCAGTCGCCCAGTTATTAACTGAAGCCATAACAGTTACAACTGATACTCTGGCAGCTGGTTCCAGATGTGGTAATTCATCCATAAAGTTGACCAATTCTTTTTGATTCTCTTCAAGTGTAACAGCCAAATAATGAAGTAAAGTCGCAGCCCCTTTAGTATTGTTTTCGGCTGCTTTTGTGTCTCCCATCTAAAAAATAATAATTATTGTTATGCAAAGGTGGTAATAATAATAATAATAATAATAATATAATAGAACAGATATGCCAACCAATAATAATCACAATCCTCACATTCAAAAGTGCGTTTAATTGGAAACCATAAGCATTCCCTCGAAAACTGGACCCGTTTAAATAATTACCAATAGCTAATACAGTCTAAATAAAAAAAAGAAAATTGATTCTATTTAAATATAACAGAGAAGTAAAAAAAAATAAGATTTACTAATTTCACCTTGAGTAATTTCTTAAATTTTTCTGAATTTTTTAATTCCATATGAGCATCACGTAGTATACTAATATCCTAGTAGATACATATATTGTCAAGAAATCAATTGGACACGAGGAATGCATAGTCAAACGAATATATATAAATTCTCACTGGAAGTAATTCTTCTGCTTCAATCTCGAATCGACGTCTGAAGATCATACATGTTAAGCGTTCAGATAAACGAGGTATAACCATGATTTCCTTTAAATATTTTTCGGCATTACCC